TTAATATTAAAAATTATTTTTTATCTGATAATATTTATTTTACAATTTTATACAAACAGTGAAATAGAATTATCTTGTTACAAAAAAGTAAGATTGGCATTGTGTATAAGTTCATTTGAAAGAATTAGTAATATTTTATGTGTTTTAAAATAACTGTTATTTTTTAAGAAGGCCAGTGGCCCAACAATTTAATGTAAGCCTTTTTCACCATAACAAGGGTTCGATCCTCTTCCCCACCCCCCTCTCCTTCACCCTCCCCGTCCCCCGAACCACTTGTCCTAATAAAAAAATAATAATAATTGTTATTTTTTATTTTAAATTTGCTTAAATTAATTATTATTTTTTATTTTTATAATAAATAAATATTTTTTTTACTTTAACTATATTATTATCTATTTATTTTAATTAATTATCTTATGTCATACACTACTAAAATTCCTCTTTTTAGCAACATGGTATATCATGTCCGTGAAAGTGGTGCTTATATTGCTGAAAGTACTTTAGCAACAAAATACATATTGCTGATGTTTTTGTTAAAGAAGCTTTAGTTAGTAATACATCAGCAACAAACGTCACATTGCTGATTCATGGCCCCCTTTCAACAACAAAGAGTTTGTTGTTGAAAGTGGAGTTTTATCGATATGACTCATATTGCTAAAAAAGTCATTAGAGTTAGCCATCGGAATTTTATACCATTTTTAGTAACATAAGCCATGTCGATGAAAGTTTAGTTTAACTGACGTGCTCATGTTGATAAAAATAGTCATTGGAACCAATGATCGGAATTGTGGCACCATTTTCAATAGGATCATGATTGGTGCACACCCGATCTAACACCCGGGTGTGCACCCCCACATAAAAAAAAAATGGTATGCACTCGGATCTTTTTTTTTTTTTTATGGGGGATGTGCACACCCGGGTGTTGAATCTGGGTGTGCACACATCATTTTCCTTTTCAATAACATATCCCTTGTTACTAATAATTTAGTATCCTAGTTTCAACAACAAGTTCCTTGTTACTGATAATCCCATAAATAGTAAAGCCCATCCCATTTTCAACAATATATCCCTTGTTGTTGATTCTTTTGTAAATAGTAGAGCATTTTACTTTTAGCAACAAGTTCCTTGTTGCTGATTATCTTGTCACTTTCAACAACATATTCCTTATTACTGATAATCTTGTAAGTACAAGCATGCATGCCTCATGCTAATTAACAAGTTGTTTCATGTCAATAATGCTAAAATTTACCATTTTGAAAATATTTTACCTACAATTGGTATGTTGCTGATAAGTTTTTACTTTGAAAAAAAATGTAAATTTATAAATTTTCTCTATCAATATTATGAATACATATTCCTCAGTTACATTAACATTTAAAAAATATAATTAAATTAATTTCATTTGTAATTATAAAATTTAATAATAATATATTATTTAATTAAAAAATTTACTTTTTATAATTATAATCACTAAATAACAAATTCCATGCTATCTCACCCATAATAGAATAAATTATACAGAAAAAATTATAATTAAATCATTGATATTTATTTTTACCATATATATCAAAACTTTTAGCTAAATACATTTAAAATAAGCATCTCAAGGTAATTAATGTTGGTTTAGAGAACTTACCAAACTTGAATTTTTTTACTTTAATGAGACTTACCTACAAAACAAACAAACTACCAAAATTAATAATTCATATATATATATCCTTATTTATAATTTTATTAACTTTAAACTAACTTGAAACATACTTAATCACTTAATGTTTATAAAATATTTAACATAATAAAATCCCAACAAATGCCTCAAGAGAATAAATAAGTTAATGAAAATTAATTTAATTATTGATATATGTATGAGAACTTTATGATAAAAGAGAATACTTTAATGATACTTGATGGATAATTAATTGATAAAAATTGGGTGAGATGTGGAGGATTTTCTGTAAAAAATGAAAAAAAAAAAAAAAAGGCTGAGAAATGGAGGAGGTATAGAGCATGTGCGCAAGAGAGAATAGGAGGAGGAAGGAAGGAATTGCTCTCAATTGGGTTGGGAGTGGGGGTATAAATAAAACCTTCAGCATTATATACCATGTTACTAAAAGGTTTTTTCCCTAATCAGCAACATATTCCATGTTACTAAAAATTTATTTGAATTTGAAAGAACATAAGTCATCACCGACATGTGCCATATTGTTGAAACTTCAAATTATCATTCCCGCCCAATATTTGATCCATATACTTAAAAAAATTCATTTCTATCTCTAAAATTTAATTTTTTTTAGTTGATTTTTCATATTCTATTAAATATTACTTAACACCTTAATTAATGTAAGTACATTATTACTCTTTATTTAAATGATTTAAATCTCTAATATGTCTAACAAAATAATGTGAATATATTTTTGAATTTACAGAAATATTTCACATAAAAATATATAAAATATTTTTACTTAAGAGTTGACTATTGAAAGTGAGAGTTGAATTTTTGTCATTAAGAGTCGACTCTTCACTCTTCACATTAAGAGTCAACTATACCCTTCGTACAGAACTACAAATTTATAAAAGTAATTAATTTTAAATACAAACATAAAAATAATTATGTGAGGGATGAAAGAAACAAATTAAATTGAGAGAATAAGGAACAAATAACACTAAAGTAAAAGGTGTGAAAAGTGTACATATAATGGCCATCGACACCAACTAGTCAAAGTGGTTATATCAACAATATATTCCTTGTTACTAATTTTTAGTTGCTAAAAATAAAGGAATAACAACAATGTGGATTTTATTGGTGATGTACAACATCAATAACCTGGTATATGTTGTTAATGCTTCAAGTGGATGGAAAATTTCAGCAACATACCCAATGTTGCTGAAAGTGAAGCTCATTTTTAGGTGGAAATGTGCAGTATACAGTGACCAAGAAATTACAGCAACATGTTTATTGTTGTTGAAAGTGATGTTGTCGAAGGTGATGTTGCTGAAGGTGGAGCTTATTTTTAGGTGGAAATAGCTTTTAGCAACATAATCTTTGTCAATAAAAATCTATATCACCAACAAAGACATTCATGTTGCTAATAACTTGTTGTTGAAAATAAGAATTTCAGTAGTGATAAAATTTTATTTTATTTTTAATTTTTTTTAAAATAATATAAATAAATAAATAAACAATTTTTAAATTTTAAATTTAAAAATAAAAATTTTAAAAAAATTAATTATTTTAGAAGAGCAAGGGCAATTTAATACAGATTTTTGAATAGTTGGTTTGACCAGTAAATTTCACTCCTACATGCAGGAGGCAGGCACTATGTCCTACTCTTCCTTGGGAATCGGTGTGAAGTGCAGGTAGGCGTGGAAATGGGATGATCAAAACAAGAGGCAGGTGTGGGAATGGATGTAATATATGCTGGTAGGTGTTCTGAAAGGGTATGCTTACGATTTATTATTAATATTATTAAAATTATAAAAAAATTAATTTATTAATTAATAAATATTAATAAATATTAATTAATTTATTAATTATTAATTATTTTGATTAATTAAATTAAATAAAATTAATATTTTTAAAAACGTATATCTTACAATTTTGATACACTTTGGTGATCATAACACCTTATTACCACGTGTATTTTTAAAGACATACAATAACTATTATTTATGTGGTTTTAATCAAGAAAAACATGACAATAGCCGTGTGTTTTATGGGAGGATGTGGGGAAACTAGGAAGGTAGCTTGGGTAAGTTGGGAAAAGGTATGTAGTGAGAGGTCAAATGGTGGATTAGGAGTAAAGAATCTAGAGAAGTTCAATGTTGCACTCTTAGGGAAATGGAAATGGAGATTTTTGATGGAAAGAAAAACCCTATGGAGAAAGGTTGTAATGGAATTATATGGGGGTAGGGGACAAAAAGGTTGGGATGGGTGTGAGTGTAAGGTAGGTAGTTCTATATGGTGGAAGGACTTGCAGGGATTAGATGATCTTGTCCAAACTAGGAGTGAGTGGTTGAATGAGGGGATCATAAAAGCAGTGGGGAATGGGAAAGACACTTCTTTTTGATATGAAAATTGGTTAGGTAGTGGAACTTTAAAAGAGAAATATTGTAGGCTATTCATGTTAACAAATAATAAAAATGATATGGTTGTGGATATGGGAATATGGAAGGAGGGTAGGTGGGAATGGCACTGGAGATAAAGGAGGAATTTGTTTGTGTGGGAAAATCTTCTCTTGAAGGACTTGATTACAGAACCTGAAGGAATTGAACTCAAAGGAATTGAACTCAAACAAGACAAACAGGACACATGGACTTGGAAGCATGACAAGAGAGGCATGTACACTATGAAGTCAGCTTATAGGTACCTACAGTGGCGGAGCCAGGGGGTGCGAGGGGGGGCGCTTGCCCCCCTTGAAATGTGAAAATCTTGCAAATTAGTATATAATTAGTATATGAAAAATTATCTAGCCCCCCCTAAACTTTGAAAATTTTAGCATCTTGCCCCCCTTGAAGAAAATTTCTGCCTCCGCCCCTGGGTACCTAAATGCAACACCCCAACATGGGATGGCTATTGACTTCAAAATTGTGTTAGGTGCCACTTAAAGTAACAACATTTGCATGAAGAGCATTACAACACTGATTGCCAACGAAAGCAAATTTAGCTAGGAGAGGGCTACTGCAGGTGGGACAAGATTCCATGTGCCCTTTTTGTGGACAGTACAAAGAAAATGTTGATCACTTGTTGATAACATGTGAAAAGTTGTGGAAAGTCTGGTCATCATGTCATGCCTGGTAGGGTGTTGAGGTTGTCGCTTATGGAACTTGCTGTGGATATCTTCTACAACACATTGGTTTAGTTCAAAGTGAAGTGCAAAGCGATTTTTGGTCAGTTATTTGGTTCACTATGGTATGGTCACTATAGCTAAGACGAAATCAGAGGATATTCAATAGCGACGATAAATCTAATGGTGATGTGCTCAATCTTATCAAATTTAGATCCCTCTCTTGGATTAAGGTAAGATCAAGGTTTGACTTAAGAGAGGAACTATGGTATAATAACCCAATGGAGGCCTTAAACTATTGAATAAAGATTCTGTAAATATTATTCTATGCATTTTAAGCTTTTGGAATTTGATAAGAAATTTAAGAGAGTTTAGGTATTCTATACATATTGCCAGTGAGATGTTCCTTATGTTTAGTATGTAAAGGGTAGGAGTACTCTTGTACCCTTGTACTCTAATTAACAAAATTATATTGCTGATCAAAAAGAAAAATAGCCGCGTGCTTTATCATGGGCGGGCATTTGCCGACCTAGGGTAGTTGTTTGATTATTTATAGTTTTATACGATCTAGGCCAGATCTTTCACGTCCTTGCGATGCCTGGCATTGTGGGTTTGTCTTTCGTGGCCCTGCTTCAAGATCTGGAACTTTCCTCCATTTTTTTTTAATTTGCGTTAAATTCTTAAATTAGTTTTTATATATTTTAAAATTAATTTTTAAATAATTTTAAAGACATATCTTTTTATTAAATAATATTTATTTATTAGTAAATTTAACATTTAAAGTTAGATTTAGATTGTTAACGATTTAAATAGTTCAGTGATCACTCTCTTTCGTTGAAAATAAAAGTTCATAAGTTTGAGCCGTATGACAGCGAGTGGGGTGAGATAATAGATGAAAGATAATTGCTTTAATTGTCCAAGCAAGATAAAAAGAAAAAAAAAAGTCAGGTCTAAACTTTCTTGATTTGTAGATTCGTTTAATCCTGCATTATATTGCTGCACGGTATTATGATTAAGAACTTTACATCAATTATATGTGAATATGGTGTGGTTTGTGAGTGAGTTAACTAATTTAAAAGTTGAGAATTTAAATTAAAAATTTTATATTTAAATTTTAAGTTCAATTAATAGGAATTTAAAATAAAAAAATTATGCCACATCCTTAAATATAAAAACAAATATTATGGCATGATATATAGGTTCAGCGTGATTGCATTATAAATAATTATAAGTAAGCAGAGTTTAGGTTTTTAGGTTAGGAAAAAAAACCTAACCTATAAATTTTAGTTTAGGTTCTTCTCATATATATTTTTTTTACTTTCTTTTATCACTTTAAGTTTCTCCTCTTATTCAATTATTCATATGAATAGTCCCACGTAAAATTTTCCTCCATTCTCCCATTTAAATTAAGAGAAGTCTTTTGAACGGAGTCTTTGGGTCTAATAATTTATTTTTAAATTTTAGTGCTTTAGTTAAATTAATTTAAAGTTTGATTCTTATTAACGTTTTGAAAATTTTCCAAACCCCCCATAATTCCCCATATTCAAAAAAAAAAAAAAGGAGAAAAAAGAAAAGAGAAGTCTTGTACATCCTTACCTATATGTGGAATTATAAAGCGATAGTTATTTAATGGAGGGACTCTCTTCATTATCAAGGGATTATTGTTTAATTTAATAATTAATATTTTATAATTAAATTAAATTTAAATTATAAAAAAATTTATTAAATTAAATTTTTTAATTTTGATATGATTGATATCTACACATTTATATATGTGCAGACTAGAAGACGATACTTGTAAGCTGAGGAATAAGATTAATATCACTTAATTGTTATATATACCAAATATATATTGAAAAAATAATGACAAAATTGAATGGATTATATGATATGAAAATTTAGAATTAATAATATGTCACAATTAAGTCACTTCATTAAATATTAAAAGGGAGATTTTCTATTATTTAATAATTAGTTATTTTTATTTTATTAAAACTCATAATATTATATATATTAATTTACTTAATAATATATTTTATACCATATTATTCATCTCAAATTTTATCCTTAATTTTCATCTTATATATCAATTGTCTGAAAGAAAAAAAAAAACTTAAATTCCATCAAAAAATTTTAACATTTACAATCATCTCTTCTTTTTTTTTTTTAATGGTCATCCTTTTTCACGTCATCTTCAATTAAAAAAAAAAAAAAGAAAACCTTTACATCACGCTTTGTTTGCTTCTAAACCCAGTGTTTTGTATAGTTGACGGCCCAAGAGAAACCCATTAGAGCTCTTAGGACCATCATGCTTCTCCCAGCGTAGATAATTTTTATGTAAGATGATTTAAGAACCTTTTCTTTTATTAATTTTTTATATAACTTTAACTTTTATTTAACTATTTATTTATTTATAATTTTAAATACATCCATTCATATAATTACATATAAAAATTATATAAAATGATAATATAAAAATATTGTTCCTACCTCATTGTTTTTTTTTAATTAAAATTTAAAATTGAAATTCCGTAAAATTGCGAAGTCCTTCCTGTACTAAAACGGTGTCGTTTTTCCTACTTCCTAACCATCTCGAAAGCTTCAGGTTTTTCCGTTGATATTTTCTCCTTGATTTCTGATGCAGGGCTCTTTGCTTGTTGT